TGCTCATGTTAAGGAGGCAAACATCTTAGGTAAAATGATCAGCTGCCTGGGCACAGTGGCTCACACTTGTAATCCCAACACTTTGGGAAGCTAAGGTGGGAGAATCACTTAAGACTAGAAGTTTGAGACTGGTCTGGGCAACATAGGCAAACCTTGGGTCTACACAACATCAAAAATTATCTGGGTATGGTGGCATGTGCCTGTAGTCTCGGCTGCTGGGGAAGCTGAGGTGGAAGGATCACTTTAGCCTGAGGGATTGAGGCAGTGAGCTGTGATTATGCCGTTATACTCAGCCTGAGTGGTAGAGTGAAACCCTAAATAAATAAATAATCGATTTACTTGAATGATTGGTTTGTGAAAGTACTCTGCTGTATATGTTTATTCTTTTGTATATACTTATGCTTCTCTGCTTTATGATGTATTTTGATTTTTGACTAAAGTTCCAACCTGTGATGTCTAACTAAAATGAAAGAATCTAGATAAAGTTAAATCTTGAAACAGATTTTTCACAGTAACCATAATTTTAATAGTCTTTTCAGCTGCAAGATGTATGTCTGTAACACCAATTAGCTAATAAATAGTTGATGAATAGAGAGATGTCAGTGTGATTTGGAAGTTGTATTGGTTCATATGTGATTTTTTCCTAGGAAGTGAAAAATAGAAATAAAACCTTCATCTGGAGCAGAAAGCTCTTAGCCACACAAGCAGATCACCTTTCGTGTTTAAAAAAGTTAATGAAGTTAAATAAGAGTGCCTACACCTAGCGCTTGTTCCCCAGAAGGGTTTATTTTAAATATTTCCTTTTCTCTTGTCCCTTCTTTAATGGCAGCCCTGGCTCAGAGCTCCACTTCAGTCTGCTTTGTGACAACACCTAAGCAACATTTCCAGTTAATTTTGTTCATTTCAAATATTCCCCAAGTTAGCTTCCAGCTCTGAGCCACATGCTGGGATGTCCTATCTTTTTCATTAATCCTAGTTACTGTCTTTTTTATTTTTTTTTGAGATGGAGTCTTGCTCTGTTACCCAGCTGGATTGCACAGTCTTGGCAATCTTGGCTCACTACAACCTTTACCTTCCAGGTTCAAGTGATTCTCCTGCCTCAGCCTCCTGAGTAGCCGAGACTACAGGCACCTGCCACCACACTCAGCTAAATTTTGTACTTTTATTAGAGGTGGGATTTTACCATGTTGGCCAGGCTGGTCTTGAACTTCCCACCTTAAGTAACCCACCCACCTTGGCCTCCCAAAGTGCTGAGATTACAGGCATGAGCCGTGGTGTCCAGCCTAGTTACTGTCTTTCTTGTTACAAAGTTGCATGGGTTTCAAGTAGTTTGCCTCAAACTTATTTTTTCCATAAATCCTCTCTTTCTGATGTGTGCTTTTGCAGGAGGGTGGTTTTCATGAGTGGATATATTGTGTTACAGCGTGGATACCTCTGTAATTTGTGACATCTGTATAAATGCAGTTAACATTAAATTCTTTATTCTCAGCTCATTTAATATTTTAAAAGAAAACACCTGTTCATTGCATAAAAGTAAAGGATGCAGAATTATGGATACTTAATAAAGTGTTCCTGAAATCCTCTTCCTTTTCCAGTCTCACTTACCTAAGTAATTAATGCTAACTGTTCGTCGTGCCTGTCTATCTTTTTAATATACGTTTACATATATACATAGATTTAAAATGTGATCCTAGAGAACATTTTACAATGAGACTTTATTGCCCCCAAACAATACAAAATATCCCCTGGTGTGGACGTGTCATAACTTTTTTTTTTTTTAAGACAGTCTTGCTTTGTTAAGACTGGAGTGCAGTGGTGCGATCTTGGCTCATTGCAACATCTGCCTCCTGGGTTCAAACGATTCTCCTGCTTCAGCCTTCTGAGTAGCTGGGATTACAGACATGTGCATGTGCTACCATGCCCATCTAATTTTATGTTTTCAGCAGAGATGGGGTTTCATCATATTGGCCAGGCTGATCTCGACTTCCCAGCCTCAAGTGATCCACTGGTCTTTGCCTCCCAAAGTGTTGGGATTACAAGCATGAGCCAGCACACCTGACCAGTGTCATAACTTTTAAAACTATTTTTCCATTGCTTGCTGTATAGATTGTATTCTAACTTTTTTGCTGTTACAAACATGTTACATTGAACTTTCTTATTCTACTTATTATTATGAAATAGAATAAGTGTTGTTAAAATGGAATAGACTTTCAAAGGAGGATTATTGGGTCTCAGCTTGTGTTCATTTAAAATGAATAGATATGACCCAATTATTGGCTTTTGAAAAATGATGTAGTAATTTATATTCCCATTTATAAAGTTTAAGACTAATGTAGTTGACTGTAAAATATTGTTTTCTTAGATTTTTGATATGTGGCTTGAGGATAACACAAGGTAAAAATGCTAATTGAAATGTTAAGAATGTGGACTTGATCACAACTTTGAGTTTTAACATTTGTTTTTATTTTGTGCTTTAGAATTTGCTTTTTCTTACATTTCTATATCAGAAGGCTAACATTTTTCTTATTTCTGCAAACTTTTATTGAGACATACGTGGCACACAATTAGAAATGTGTAGTTCGATGAATTTTCAGAAACTGAACACACCTATTTAATCAGTTTCCAGACAAACAAAACATTACTAGCCTCCAGAAGTCTCATTCTATCAGTAACTCAACTAAGGTAACCACTGTCCTGATTTATGATACCATTGGTTGGTTTTGCCTGTATTTGAACCATATGTAAATAGACTCATATAGTATATGCTAGTATACTGTATGTTGCTTTATTTCCTCAGTGTTATTTATAAGGTTCATCTACGTTTTTCTAAAAGGATTTACATCAGTTATTTTCATTATTGTATAGTATTTTATTGTATAACTGTAATTAGCTTTTACCTATTCTTTTGTTGGTAAGAATTTCATTGTTTCTAATTTTTGACTCTTAGAAATATTACTAATAATACTTTTTCAGACGTTCTAATACGGTAAACATTTCTCTTAGTTACATCCCCCAGGCATGGTGATGGGTTGGTGTATTTCTAGTAGTTTCTTTTTTTCCCCTCCAAAATGGTTAATACCAACTTGCGCTATCACAGTATATCAAAGTTTAGTTGCTCTGCATTCTTGACAAAACTTAAGTCTTGTTGTAACTATTTTTGCAGAGTTGGTTTTAATCTGCATTTCCCTGGTGACTGATGAAGTAGAACATCTTTGCTGCTTTATAAAATAAAGTTTTTGACTTTATTTAATCATTATTGTTATATTTTTGAGACGGAGTCTCGCTGTTGCCAGGCTGGAATGCAGTGGCACAATCTCGGCTCATTGCAACCTTTACATCCTGGGTTCAAGCAGTTCTCCTGAGTAGCTAAGATTACAGGTGCTCACCACCACGCCCAGCTAATTTTTGTATTTTTAGTAGAGATAGAATTTTACCATCTTGGCTAGGCTGGTCTTGAACTCCTGACCTTGTGATCCACCTGCCTCAACCTCCTGAAGTGCTGAGATTGCAGGCATGAGCCTCCATGCCGAGCCCTGTATTCTTAACGTAGGGATCACAGGCATGAGCCACGGTACCTGGCCAACTTTATTTATTGACTGTTTGGATAATCTCATTTGTCAAGTACCTATTTAAGCATTTATTCTTTTTCTTTTGGGGTTCAGTCTTGTCCTTATTTTTTGGTAGGAGTTGTTTACATATTAGAAATGTAAGTGCTTTGTTTGATGTTTTGCAAATACTTCTTCCTAGTCTCTCAAAGGCATTTTTGGATGGCTTAATCTTCCAGCTTATCAAATATAGTTCAGTCTGTAATTCCTTTCTTTTTTTTTTTTTTCAGTACTTCTTTTGTTTTGTATAAGAAATCATTGCTTAGTTCAAGGTTTTGAAAGTGTCTTCTGTACTTTTTCCTAAAATCCCCATTGTTTCACCTTTTACATTTAGATCTATAACCCATCTGGAATTGGTTTTTGTGCATGATGTGTTGAGATTCATTACTTCTCCAACTGTATATGAGTATACAGTTGATCTGGAGTATTTATTGAAAAGACCATCCTTTTCCCACTGCAATACTACATCAAGTTTTTCAGACATCAGAGTACTGTATGTGAGATGGGTCTGTTTCTAGACTTTTCTTTAAAACGAAAACCGATTGGATCAGTTTGCTCATTCTTGTACAAGTACAGTATTCTCTTACTAAAGTTTTATGGTAGTTCTTAAGATCCGATAATACAACACTTTTCGGATTTGAACCTCAAAACAGCTTGGACTGTCGTGTTATTTCTCTAGGATTTTTAGAATTGAAATTTGTTAAATTCTACAAGAAAACCTGCTGAGATTTTACATCAGTTGTAAACATCAAATCGAGGAAAATTGGTATCTTAGCAATATTGAGTTTGCAAATTTATAAGCAGAGTGTATTTCTTCATTTATTTAGGTTTTCTTTAATTTCTCTCAGAACAAAGCTGGAAGATTTAACACTATTAGATATGAAGGCTAAATATAACATCTGGGCTCATTAAGACAGTATAGTATTGATACAAATGTATATGAATAACTTACTCAAATAGACCAGAGAATCTGGCCTAAGGTTGTGGTTCATGCCTGTAATGTCTGCATTTTGGGAGGCCACAGGCAGGAGGATCACTTGAACCCAGGAGTTTGAGACCAGCTGGGCAATATAGTGAGACCCAGTCTGTCCAAAAACAAAAAAAAAACTAGCTGGTTAGCTGGGTGTGGTGACATGCAATTGTAGTTGCAGCTACTTGGAAGGCTGAGGTGGGAGGCTTGCTTGAGCCTGGAAGATTGAGACTACAGTGAGCCATGGTTATGCTACTGTACTCCAGCCTGGGTTACAGAATGAGACCCTGTCTCAAAAACAAAAAAAAAGTCAGACAGTCAAAGCCAGGAATATCAGTGTTTGTTCTAGTTTATGTTTAATCGATGAGTGCTTTAGATTTACAATCTTTAGTGTTATTTTAATGTTCCTTTTCCTTTTCTCACAGGTGCGGGCCATGTTTGAGGATTGCCCCAGCATTCAGTTCTATGAGTAATAAATATCCACAGGCTGTTTTCTTGGAAGTCGATGTACATCAGTGTCAGGTAAGGGAAGGGAATCTTTTTTTTTTGATTTACTTTTGAATAAATTTGAATCCAACATTAATATTCTTCATTTATCTCTTGATGCACATAGTACTTATTCCTTTGAAGATAGGAAGATGTTATGTTGACGTCATTATTGCAGATGTCATTATGGTTACATTGGTTAAGAGTAGCATGTTATTAATTGCTTCAGGTTTGTATTAATCACCTTCTGATATAACATTACTACAATGTTGTTAATAGGTCACCTAGCAGTTCTGTGTATTACATTTCCTTATGTTTTGCAAACCTAGAATTATATCTTCTACGCCTGAGGCATTGGCCGATTATACAGCAATGGCAAGGAGTTCTTGGTTATAGTTTGAATTGATCAGTTTATAATCTTATCTCCAAATCAGCATACTGAGCAGAAACTTTAAAATGTTGATTACTTTTTATTTTTTTTGAGATGAAGTCTCGCTCTGTCACCAGGCTGGAGTGCTGTGGCGCAGTCTTGGCTCACTGCAACCTCCACCTCCTGGGTTCATGTGATTTTCCTGCCTCAGCCTCCTAAGTAGCTGGGACTGTAGGCGATTGCCACCTCGCCTGGCTAATTCTTTGTATTTGTAGTAGAGACAGGGTTTTACTGTGTTAGCGAGGATGGTCTCCATCTCCTGACCTTGTGATCTGCCTGCCTTGGTCTCCCGAAGTACTGGGTTATAGGTGGGAGCCACTGCACCTGGCCAAAATGTTGATTACTATTGATTGAACCACAGTATTGTAGGTGAACTGCCCTGATTACTTAGTTGGAATGGTATGTGATAGTTCAGTACTTCTATATGTAGAAATGTGGGGAATTGTTAAGGAAAAAAAAAATTGGAAGGCCCTTTCCAACACTAAAAAGTAGAGTCTTTAGTTCTAATTAAGGAAGAACTCTATAGCTCTGCAACTTTATCTTTGTTAAGTTTCTGAGTGTGGTAAACATTTTAGAATATTATGTAGTTTGTAGTTAGTTTGGGGATTTGTTACACACATTTATGTTTCAGCACTTAGTCATGTGTTACTGAACTGTATCATTGGCCCCTGATTTGATCACTATTTCTGATACGAAAGTGCTTTTTCCTGGAGCTGTGCTGTCAGTATTGTAACCACTGGCTACATGTGTTTACTGAGCACTTTTAATGTGGCAAAACCAAATTGAGATGTACTGAAAGTGTAAAATACACATCAGATTTTAAAGACTTAGTATGAAAAAAATGTAAAATAATGCATTATCTTTTTATGTTGATTAGACTGAAAATGTATATATTAGGTTTGCTGTAATATTAAAATTGATTTTACTTATTTTGCTTTTTTATTATAGATAATAGAAAATTTAAAATTGCATATGTAGCTCATGTGCTACATATCCATTGTTTTGGACAGTACTTCTCTGTAAGGTCAATCATAGTTTTTTCACTTAGAGGCTTTGAGAAGACATTCCTATGTTAATCTTAATATTCTTTTTCTTTAAACAATATAGTAATGACATTCATAATATTTGAATATGTAACGTGCCATATTTGCTTTACTGGTTCCTTTATACTTGTCATGAAAAGTTTAAACTAGGATACTCAGTGGGTGTTAGGTAATTTTCATTCAGTAGTTAGTCTTATAAAATTGTGGAGCTAGGACAGAATTTAAAAAGATAGTTGTTGGAATGTATTTGATGGGTGACCAAAGACATTTCTGTAAGAGTAAAAATTGGGTGACAGTTGCAATGCAAAATACATTACCTGTTTTTCACAGGCAGATTGACTATTGTTTTTCAGATGGGCTCTTTTTTTTTTTTTTTTTTTGAGATGGAGTCTCGGAGTCTCGATCTTGTTGCCCAGGCTGGAGTGTAATGGCGCCATCTCACCTCCTGGGTTCAAGTGATTCTCCTGTCTCAGCCTCCCAAGTAGTTGGGATTACAGCAATGACACCTGGCTTAACTTTGTATTTTTAGTAGAGATTGATTTTCCTCCATGTTGGTCAGGCTGGTCTCGAACTCCCAACCTCGGATGATCTACCTGCCTCGGCCTCCCTAAGTTATGAGACTACAGGCATGAGCCACCATGCCTGGCCAGATAGACACTTTTTTCTCGTAGTAGTGGTTTGTGTTCACTTTATTAATACCATTCTTGGTTATGCTTTTTGAAAAATACCTGTAATTATGAAAGACCTGTCTGGTGTAAAGCACAGTTTTGGCATCGAAAGCTGATTTTTCTACTGGATGACATATTTAACAGTAAAAATGATAAAAATGTAGACAGTGTTCTTTATAGTGTGTATAAGGGTTATGTAGCTATGCCCAAAGGGAATAGGTCTGTTTTTTTCTTAAATAACAATTAAGAATGCAGTATTTTACATGTTTTTACTTCATGCTTATGATATTTAACTTTCATAAAGGTATAGAATGAGTATTCAAAGTGGTTTAAGATTTAATTTATAACACTGTCCAACTTGTCAATTCTAGGGAACAGCTGCCACCAACAATATATCAGCAACACCTACATTTTTGTTTTTTCGAAACAAAGTGAGAATTGATCAGTATCAAGGAGCAGATGCTGTGGGATTAGAAGAAAAAATCAAGCAGCACTTAGAAAATGACCCTGGAAGCAATGAAGACACAGATATTCCAAAAGGCTATGTATGTAGACTGAAAAGTGAAATCATAATGTATCTTATACATGTCATTATTTGGTTAAAATGAAATATAACTTTTTATGTTCTATCTCTTGCTGGTTTACAATACTTTTAAATAAGAGGTTTCAAATTAAATTTATTAGCTATTAAGTTTTGTCTGTATGTGTATGTCTTTGTGTGTGTTAAGCCCCTATCATAAACTGTTTTTCCTAAATTTCTCCTGATTTTCTTTGCCCCTTATTTTTTTATCTGCTTTCTGAGCTGTTTTAATAGCCATTTACGAACACTTGCTTTATATATATATATATATTTTTTTTTTTTTTGCAAAAAGTGAAGATGTATATTGGAAGTTTTTTTTCACTTTTTGACAATTGTGTAAAATGACACAAGTTTTAATTATGACATTATATATTGAACTCCCTTTGCTGCCACTCATTTCCTATAGTTTTATCTTTTTAAATGTATGCTTTCTTTTCTGGCACTCTGTTTAAAAAGAAAAAAGTCTATTCTAGTTTCTAATACCCCAAAGCTAACTTTTTGGATGTATTTCTTTCTAGTATGTAGAAAGGGCTTTCCTTGGCTGCCAGGAAGTGGGGAGCAGGGATGTGGCATGGTGATGATCTGGGGACAGCCAGACATATGCTCAGACACTTTGGAAAACTGGGGAGGGGGAACAGGCAGACAGAATCTTCATCTTCTTCCTTTTTTGGACTGGGGAGGAGGGTGCTTGGTGACAGTTTCCTGAGTGTAAAGAAGGAATACAGGTTTGAAAGCTTTGTAATTATATGTTAAAACAGGTACTGAAAACCAGTACGGGGGGTGGGGGAGAAGATGCTGTAAACACCTCTATTTAAAATGAAGATTTCTGGAGCAACTGTACTAATAGTGGTATCGTAAGTCTTTAGCTGGTAAGGTCTAGCACTGAAATAACTTAATTTTTTTAACTTGTGAGGGATATTTTTAAAGCACCCCTTAAAACCTATATATTAAAAAATTAAATATAGAAAAATTGTTCTAATAAATGAGTTTGAGAATGCACAGAAAATAACAGAACCCATTTTCTTAACCTCTGGTAACTGAAGTGGAGCATGAAATTCAAAGCCACTTTGTGGATGTCCTACATTGTTCACCTAAAGGGAAACAAATGCAGAGCTATCAAAGAGTTTCTTGATAAATTCCCAGACCTTGGAGGGCTAAGGCTTTTCATAAATATGGTCACTGGACTGATGATTTCTAAATTTTAAATTTGATACTCCCAAAAAGTAACATATATGATTTATAAGTGTTTTTTTTTTTTTTTTGAGAAATGACCAAAAAATAGGAACTAGTTTTAACAATCTCTGAAAACTTTAAATTCTACACATTTTGAAACGCACTTCCAAACAAGATAGACTAACAATAATACATGTCTACTACACTGCAGAAGTAGCTTAAACTTGCCAAGACATCCTCCTTTGTCCTTGTTTCCTGGAAGAGTTGCTAGGTCGTTTTTTGCCGGTGGCCAGCAGCCTCTTTAGGAACAAAGGATCTACTGTAAAAGTCACTCTCAGATGTTTGCCCTGCCAGCTAATGCCTTCTCTGCACACCGCACCCGAAGGAGCACGGAGCCCACAGGACTGGCTGGCCCTGGCTCTGGCCTCACTGCCAGCTGGGCTGCCTTTCGTACTTGTCTTGGCTGTTCCGCTTCCATGGTGGGGAGTAACTGACAGAACCTCGGGCGTGGAAGCTGTGCTTGTAAGGGTGGCATCTGTGTTTCTTTGGATTTTCTTCTTTCTGGGCCCGGCTCTTCGCTGGTTCCATACTGCCCTCTTTTTGTTCATGGTCTTGCTCTTTATGAGAGGGCAATGTGTTTTTAATTGTGTTAATTAGAAATCTTTTATTGGTACCAGCAAGAGAACACTTCATCCAACCCATGGGTCCCATTGTTTCAGCTCCCGTTTTTCCACGTTTTGCTTCCTTAAGCAGTTCTTCTATGGCTTTCCTCTCCAGTTCCTGGTCCTCTTCCATCGTGGAGGCGGTTTCCAGATCCTCAGGTGGTGCTAACGTATTGGGGGCTGTGCCCCATAGCTTGAGGCATGGAGGCGAAGCAGGAAGCAAGGAAGTCGAGAAGAGATCCAAGATGGCTGATTGCTAACAACTCGGGATTGTAGCTCCCAGTGAAAGAGCAGAAAACGAGAGGACGCCACACTTTCAGACGAATTTTTGTCACTCACGGACCAGAAGATTCCCAATAAAGGAGCCCCGTGGGTCGCCAGCGCGACTCTTATGGCCAGTGCAGCGGTTTTGCTGGCGCCTTGGTGTGGCAGCTCTTGGTGCAGAGTAAACGGGACTGGTTCCCCTTCTGACCGAGGTTTGGAACTCCGGGAAGGCAGAGTCGCCTATTATGGACTCAAGAAGGAAGCCAGACCAGAGATTCCCAGGCAGAAGAGCACCATCAGTCTTAACACCGCTGTTTTGGCCGGCGCAGCGGGTTGCTCAGATTCCGGTGCTGGGAATCAATAAATTGGACGTCCACTCAGAAACCTAATTAGAGGGGCGGTAATTGTAAAGATGACAGATGGATAAATTTATAACGAAGGGAAGAAACCAGCCTAAAGAGGCTGAGAATACCCAAAATCAGAACGCCTCTCCCTCTACAAGGGATTGCAGTTCCTCTTCAACAATAGAACAAGGCCTGATGGAGAAGAACTATGTTTCATTAAAAGAAGTAGGCTTCAGAGGATGGATGATAAGAAACTTCTGGGAGTTAAAAGAACTTGTTCTAACTCAATGTAAAGAAACTAAAAACTTTGAAAAAAGGTTTGATGAAATGCTAACAAGAATAGACAATATAGAGAGGAATGTAAATGAATTAACAGAGTTGAAAAACACAACATGAGAACTTAGTGAAATATGCACAAGTTTGAATAGCCAAATTGATCAAGCAGAAGAAAGGATATCAGAGGTCGAAGACCAACTTAATGAAATAAAATGAGAAGACAAGATTAGAGAAAAAAGGATTAAAAGGAATGAGCAAAGTCTCCAAGAAATATGGGACTATGTGAAAAGACCTAATCTGTGTTTGATAGGTGTACCTGAATGTGGACAAAGAGAATGAATGAATCCAAGCTGGAAAATATTCTTCAGGATATTATTCAGGAAAACTTTCCCAACCTAGCAAGGCAGGACAATATTCAACTCCAGGTAATACAGCAAACACTACAAAGATATTCCTCAAGAAGAGCAACCCCAAGGCACATAATCGTTAGATTCACCATGGTTGAAAGGAAGGAGAAAATACTAAGGGCAGCCAGAGAGAAAGGTCAGGTTACCCACAAAGGGAAGCCTATCAGACTTACAGCAGATCTCTCAGCAGAAACCCTACAAGCGAGAAGAGAGTGGGGGCCAATATTCAGCATCCTTAAAGACCAGAACTTTCAGCCCAGAATTTCATATCCAGCCAAACTAAGCTTCACAAGAAGGAAAAATAAAATCTTTTATGAACAAGCAGGTACTCAACGATTTTATTACCACCAGGCCTGCTTTACAAGAGCTTCTAAAAGAAGCATTACACATAGAAAGGAACAACCAGTATTAGCCTTTCTAAAAATATACCAAAAAGTAAAGAGCATAAATATAATGAAGAATTTACATCAACAAATGGACAAAACAGCCAGTTAACATCAAATGGCAGTAATCCTAATTTAAATAGACTAAATCCCCCAATCAAAACAGCCAAAACCCAACGGTGTGCTACATCCAGACCCATTTCACATGCAAGGATACACAAAGACTCAAAACAAAGGGATGGAGAAACATTTACCAACCAAATGGAGAGCAAAAATAAATAAATAAAAAGCAGGAGTTGCAATTCTTGCATCTGATAAAATAGATTTTAAAGCAACAAAGATATAGTGGTAAAAGGATTAATGCAACAATAAGAGCAAACGATCCTAACACCCAGATACATAAGACCTATAAAGAGACTTAGACTCCCTAGACTCCCACACAATAATAGTGGAGACTTCAACATCAATATTAGATAGATCAACAAGACAGGAAATTAATAAGGATATCCAGGACTTGAACTCAGAAACTTAATAAACTTAAACATTTATAGAGAACAAGTAAACTTAATAAACTTTTATAGAGCTCTCCACTTTAAATACACAAAACATACATTCTTGTCAATACCACATCACACCTACTCATAGGTTTAAATGAAATATTGATTGGCCATTATTAAGCACAATTATTGGCATAAAAGAGGTTTTCAATACCTATTTTTAGAATAAAGCAACATTTCCGTTCTCTTTCCCTCTTTTTTTCCACTTTCTTCCTCTCCTTCACTCATTTTTTTCTTTCTTTCCTTCTCCCCTTTCTTAAAAAAAAAAAAGTCTAGTTACTGATTTTGTTTTAGAATTAAATGTAACTTTAGTATCATATGTATTATTCTAGTTTTAAGAGTAAATATTCTAAATAGCAACATAATGACTTAATCTGAAGGATGGTGTTTGAAAACTTAAGAGTATGAGTAGTTATAATGCAACATTTTTAATTTGAGCGTTACTCAAGAAAGAAGTAAAATTCAGAAGTAGCACTCCATAGTATTAGATTTGTTTATACATATAGGTAAATCCTGCATAATAATGTAGTTCTTAATTTCTCTGGTTATGAAGTTACTGCACTGGTAGATCAAAGAATGACTTTTTAAAAAAGTTACCTCAAGTTAAAGCTAATATCCTAAACAAGGTACCTATCAGGCATATTAAAGCAGATTTGTGTCATGGAGCTACAAGTCCACTCTGTATGTCTAAATTCATGCCAAATGAAGAGAAGCTATAGTCCAATAAATATGAGAGATTCTGTGTATGTGTATGCAGTAGGAGATTGGGAGGGTGTTAGGAAGCATAGGTAACTGATACCAGCCTTAACTTAGGGAAGTACAATTACTGTTATTTAGGCCTGTAATTTGAAGTTGTAATGTCCAATTAGAAAGTATCAATATATTGTGTATATCATGGTTGTAACATCTTTTGGACAGTTTCAGAAATAATTTAATTTGTAAACCTTTGTGTTTATATCTTTTTATTTTTTCCCTTTGTTACTAAAGGTGTTTGCATTAAAAAGTCTTATGAGCACAATAGTCTTGTTGCTTAGTTATAGGCATACTTCTTTACACATCAGCTATGGTATGAGTGTTTTGGCCTCAGATAGGAAATAGGCATGAAAAAACAAAATTTTAAGAAATAAAAATTTAGTTTTTGTGTAAATGTTATGGATAAAATATGAAAAACTGTTTTTTAAAAATTTCTTTTTTTCCCATCAGGTGTCAATCAAGACATTAAAGTTTTGAACTATTTAGGTCTTATAGGGTTATTCCGTATTTAAAACTGGTACTCTGTTCCCAAGACTATTACTGTTCTTAGAATACAAGTTGAAACTTACTGGAAATAAGAGTCACTGGATGAAAACCTTTCTCCTAAGTAGATTTAAATATAAGCATTGCAGGCCAGGTGTGGTGGCTCATTCTTGTAAACCCAGAATTTTGGGAAGCCAAGGCAGGTGGATCAGCTGAGGTCAGGAGTTTGAGACCAGTCTGGCTAACATGGTGAAACCCCATCTCTACGAAAATACAAAAATTAGCTGGGTGTGATGGCTGGCGCCTGTAGTCCTAGCTACTCAGGAGGCTGAGGCAAGAGAATCGGTTGAACCTGGGAGGCAAAGGTTGCAGCATGCCAAGATCATGCCACTACACTCAGCCTGGGCGACAGAGTGAGACTCTGTCTTTAAATAAATAAAAGCATTGCTTGATGCCTGTAATCCAAGCACTTTGGAGGCCAAGGCAGGCAGATCACCTGAGGTCAGGAGTTCAAGACCAGCCTGACCAACATGGTGAAACCCCGTCTTTAAATTAAAAAAAAAAAAAAATTAGAAGTGTAGGTATTTTGAAGTACTGGGCTTATACTTCATTGGAATACATGTATACAGCAATAAGCAGGTTTTCAAATCCAGTACTTAGTTTGCATATAAATGTCATTATGTTCATTGTGTATATATTATACAGTGAGCACATGTCATGTATTAAAGGGTGTTTACTATTGTTTAGATGCAATTGTTCATATCTCATTTCTTTTTTATCATGTTAAATAAATGTTGATGTTCTTAAAAAAATAAAAGCATTGCAAAAATGCATTAAGTTTTGTAAAACTGGGAGTTTCTTGGAATCAGTTTTGGTGATTGTTGTAACACTCAGAGGCTATATAAGTTGTTGATTTTATACATCCTATTGTTTTGAAACTATTTACCTGAGGCCAGAGTATGAGGATATTAGAAGGTTTTAAAAAAAATCTTAAGATTGAATAATTTTAATTCACTTTAATTTAAAAAGAGAAATATATGTATATTTTAGGGGGTTAAGATATTGTGAAAGATGTAGTTGTGATGCTCAAAAGGTGAAGACTCATAATTCTAATTCAGAACACTTTGTGAACACACTGACTTAAAAATTAAAACAATAGTTGTGCATATTTATGGGGTACATGTGATATTTTGATACTTACATGCAATGTGTTATTCCAAATCTTCTAGCTATTTTGAAATACACAAGTCATTGTTAATTATAATTACCTGTGAATAATGACTTTAACTTTCCAAAAAAGTTAGTTGAAGTTGGGAAAAATTTAAAACCATCTATCTTTACTCCTCCATATTTGCTAAGAGTAGATTATGTATAGTGTGGCTTTATTTTTTATTTATTTTTTAAAATATCTCCACAAGCGGAATTTTATTGATGGCTTTAACTTATTCCCTACCAAAAGATGAACTGCAAACAAATGAAGTGAACATAAACTGAAGATTTTGTTTTTATAATAAAAGAAAATATGACACTTAGAACTGGACCATGTGGCCCTTTCTCTTCTTAACTACTCCCAGTTCAAAATGCTTGCATCTTTTAATAACCAGCATTCTCTTAGATCTGCAGTTGGGCTCAATGCACTCAAGCCTTAACACAATCTTCTTTGTAGTTTTAGCCTTTTTCTGGAAAATTGGCTTAGTCTACCCACCATAGCCACTCTGCTTCCTGTCATAAAACTGCTTTCCCTGGGCTTTCAGAGAATCCTTGCCCTTCTTGTATTGTGTCACTTTTGTGGGATTGGTGCTCGCCACACTTCTTACAGAAAGTCCAGCAAGTTTTAGGAACATTCACTGTGTTTGCATGAGCACTATTGGCAGGGAAAGCTATTTTTTATATTTTTTAAGTTTTGTTTGTTTGTTTTTGAAATAGAGTCTCGCTTTGTTGCCCAGACTGGAGTGCAGTGGTGTGATCTTGGCTCACTGCAACCTCTGCATCCTGAGTTCAAGCGATTCTCCTGCCTCAGCCTCCCGAATGGCTGGAATTATAGGCACCTGCCACCACACCCAGCTAATTCTGTATTTTTAGTAGAGACAGGGTTTTACCATGTTGGCCGGGCTGGTCTCAAACTCCTGAACTCAGGCGATCTGCCCATCTCAGCCTCCCAAAGTGCTGGGATTACAGGCATGAGCCACCGCGTCCTGCCTCCAAATACAATGTTTATACTTTTTTTTTTTTTTGAGACAGAGTCTCACTCTGTTGCCCAGGCTGGAGTACAGTGGCATAATTTCCGCTCACTCCTGCCTTGATTTCCTGATCTTAAGCCATCCTCCCAGTTCAGACTCCCAGGTAGCTGGGACTAAAGGCACACACCACTGCAGCCAGCTAATTTTTTTGTTTACTTTTTTTTCAAGACAAAGTCTCACCATGTTGCCCAGGCTGGTCTCAGACTCCTAGGTACAAGCTATCCATCCACCTCAGCCTCCCAAAGTGCTGGTATTAGAGGCATGAGCCACCATGCCAAGCCTTTTACTTTTTATCTCTATTATTGGCATATACTTTTTTGGGATCTTTATTCTGAGTCTAACAATTCAACTGTAAAATATTTATAGACACTTAAGGAAATTTGACCACTGATTTGATGTTAAGTATTATTGATTGTGATAATGCTATTGAGAATGTTGTTTTTTTGAAGTTTTTATTGCTTAGAAATTCACACAGAAATGTTCATGAATGAAATGAAAAGATGTTTAACATTTTTCAAACTAATCAGGAGGAGAGTTAGGATGAAGTTGGGGGTTAAAGATGAGGCAAGAGTGGCCATGAGTTGCTGATTATTGTAGCTGGAGGTGGTGGATACATGGGATTCACTGTATTATTACATTTTTGTTTGTTTGAAATTTTTATTGTTAAAAACTTTTTAAGTCTCCTTATTTGTTACTCCTTAAATTGGACATCTTCAAAGGTAAAAAAGAGTCTGGCCACTAGAAGAGGGAAACAGGCTTTCTTTGGATCTTACAGATACTTTAATTTGCATACTTTCTTCTGTAAAACACTTATTTTTTAAAGTGTAAGTCAACATTTTATAATCTTAGTGTTAAGGACATAATTTCCGATACCTTAACAAGTAGGCTAAGCCTAGATTTGGCTTTAATAATCGATGGTAGATCTCAGAAATGCAAATGAAAGGACTATCCTAAAATTGTTTTATGAACTGTTTTAAAAGAGTTTTCTTAAAATTGCCTACGATTCGGATTTTTTATTAAAATCTTGGTTTAATTTTTTTTCAGATGGATTTAATGCCTTTTATTAACAAAGCTGGTTGTGAATGTCTTAATGAAAGTGATGAGCATGGATTTGACAACTGTTTACGAAAAGACACGACCTTCTTGGAATCTGACTGTGATGAACAGGTACTTGCGGGCTGAAGTTAAGGCTTGTGGAGTTTATCAGTATTTATGCCTGCTCTTGTTTCTTTATCTTGTTCCCGTCCTGTGGTTTATGTCTCCTTCCCAGATGATCCCTTCTTCCTTTCATTTCTATAGCTTTTAGTTTCTTTGACTTTTGTCTTTTGACCACATGGACCCACCTCCTTTCCCTGTTCTTGTATATGGGCTGCCAGGTGCATTAAGGAAAATCGCTGAACTCTTGGATGGGACCCACTGCAGAACTGAGCTGTTACCACTTTTCGGTCCTTTTGTTCATATTTGACCTGTCTTCCATACTTTCTTCCCACCCAGATGAATTTGTATCTGAGAAAATGAGACTAATGGGATGTTGTACTTCCTGTGTGATTAACTCCTTTCTCCTAGGTATAAACCTCTGTTGTATTCTCTGTTTCCCTGCCTTACCCTTATCACAGAGTAAGTGGGGTGTTACCACCTTGAGAAAGCTTTTAAATATTTGTTGTAGCTGTTATTTTTCTCAATTTACTTTCTCTTCCATTGTGTCTGGTTTGTTCCATTCAGGTTCATCTTCTATATGGTAACAAAAGTTATTTTTCTAAAGTATAAATCTGCATCCTTTTCTTCCTTACAAGAGTAAAATGGCTCTTCACTGGCTTTAGGAAGAGGCTGGCTTGATCTGTTTTTATCTTTCTAGTCTCTTCTGCTCTTCACCTACAGTTGAGTTTCCTAAATATGCCATGCTTATTGTTAAATACACTATTATGGGTCAAGTATAAAAAATATTGGTGTAACTAAAGGAAATAGCCTTGTAATTTTCTTAGGCAGATAAACCACAATATGATTCTGAAATCGGAAATCCAAACCCTATCTTTCTATGCTTTTACCCCAGAGGCACCTTATTTTACAGCTTTGAGAGTATCATTCACATTGTGTTCCTTATAAATGATGCCCTAAAAATAATGTGATAATGCTTATCAGCAGGACTGGATCAGGCTTCGTGAAATTTTCCTGCCCAGGAAATCTTGTTTCCAGGGTAGAAGCATAGATATTTATACCAAACACACTTTTGGCTGGAAAGAAGATTGAGCAAATGATCCAGAAGAGTATCTGAGAGATAAGCCTTCTGATAGTGTTTTGAATTCCTGCTCCCTTATGTCGTCTTCCAGATTCAGTCAGTCAAGTAAATGTAGGCTGGAAGTTTGGGGGTTACTTCAGAGCTGTAAGAGCCCTATTCTCTTGAGTTTGGGAACAGGGTCCATTTCAGGGCTAGTCTCTGCATAACCTATGTATTGCCTCTAAATTGTCAAGTAATGTGGATAGACACTTGTCAAACCATGCTAGAGCTGTATGCTAAAATGTGTAGTTTACATTTTATTTTAATTTGCGATTTTTGTTTGATTTGTTAGAAAGTAGGTTGCTTGCCAGTTTATAGCTCACAAGACCCTAGATTTCTATGCATAGTTTAGTATTTACTTGATTAATTTTTTGTATTTCCTTATATAAATAATTGATGGTGGTGCTTCTCAAATGTTATCTAATCAAGTGACTTTCAACTTGCTGATTTTTCATATTACATTGGTTTTGTTCGATGAATTAGTTTTTTTTTTTTTTGGCCTGTTATTTTAATTCTACTTAAGTAGTTTGTGTATTCAGTGTGTTCAAGAGCCCTTTTAAAATGAAACTCTTTTCTCCACAGCTGCTTATTACTGTGGCATTCAATCAACCTGTTAAGCTTTATTCCATGAAATTTCAAGGACCAGATAATGGTGAGTAAAGCATAGTTTTTCTTTAAACTAACTTCCTGCTTTGTAGAACTGTTAGCATAAAATGAAAACTTTTTATTAAATAAAAGTAGAGGTAGTTTGTAGTTGTTGTTGTTGTTGTTTTGAGACGGAGTCTTGCTTTGTCACCTAGGCTGTAGTATAGTGGTGCAATCTTAGCTCGCTGTAATCTCTGCCTCCTGGGTTCAAGTGATTCTCCCACCTCAGCCTCCCGAGTAGCTGGGACTACAGACATGCACTGCCACACTTGGCTAATTTTTGTACATTTAGTATAGGATTTTACCATCTGTTGGCCAGGCTGGTCTCAAACACCTGACTTCAAGTGGTCCACTCGCCTTGGCCTTCCAAAGTGCTAAGATTGCAAGCATGAGCACTGTGCCCAGGTTGTTTTGGAACAAAGCAAAATATAAATCAGTGGGTAAATAATGTGAGATTATTAGGTACGGAAAGTATGAAAGAAAGGAAACGTATTTTTATGCTTTTTTATTTTAAAATTTGTTTCCTTTTAATCTGAAAAGTGCTGAATCCTTTTTTCCAACTTCTAAAACTGTAGGTTCTGAGCAGCCATATTTTGGAATCAAAACTGGGAAAAATTTATTTCAAACCTCTTTTATTTTAAGTGAGAAAACTGAGGCTCCAGATATTCCTGTTTGTGCTCTATTGATAGTATCATCTTTTTTGTGTCGATGAATGTAAATATGATTATACAGACTTAGAATTTCTCTTCTTCTAAAATAAGGAATTTACTCCCCCCATTTTTTCTGTTTCTGTTAAGCTTTTTCTGAGGGGGAATAGGGGAATGGAGACTAGGGTTCTGTTTTTTGTTTTGTTTTGTTTTTGGGTGTTTTTTGTTTTGTTTTGTTTTGTTTTGTATTAATTGATTGGAAGAAATAGCCAAGGCCCTATTTAGAAGATAGCATTTTCTTATTTGTTACGCTAAATGTTTATGTTAATAATTTTACTTTCACTCTGAAATTACAAAGTATTTGTATAAGCAAATGCTGTCGAAATGAGTGTTACTTTTCCTTCATCAGCCACAAAATATGGGTCTTAAATTGTGCTTTGAGGCTGGGTGTGGTGGCTTATTCCTGTAATCCCAGCACTTTGGGAGGCCGAGGTGGGCCAATCACTGGAGGTCAGGAGTTTCAGACCAGCCTGACCAACATGGTAAAACCCTGTCTCTTCTAAAAATACAAAAAATTAGGGGAGCGTGATGGTGCATGCCTATAATCCCAGCTACTCTGGAGGCTAGGGCAGGAGAATCGCTTGAACCTAGGAGGCAGAGGTTGCAGTGAACCAACATCACACCATTGTACTCAAGCCTAGGCAGCAGGAGCAAGACTCCATCTCCAAAAAAAAAAAAAAATTGTACCTTGAAATTAAAGGGATTAAGACATTCTATATATGGGGCTTTACCACTTAGCACATCCTAATGTAATCCCTAATGAAATTTGGCAATTTTTATTATTGATTTTTTTTTTTTTTTTTGGGTAAGTGTTGTCACTGATAACACTTTCCTCCTAAATAACTGAATGTACCAACTATTGGCAACTATAAGATCTAGCTCAAGTGCTATTTCGTTTATGAAGCTTTTTGTTAACCTGCATATATAGTCAGAATCCATTGTCACCTTCCTTGAACCTCCTCTCCTGTGGTATTTTATCATAGCATGTCTTTTGTATTTGGGGGCAGGGATTTGCCATGTGTGTGTGGTGTGTGTGTGTTTGTTTTATATTCCTAACATTTATCATTGTGTTAGCTTGGCCAAGAAGGTACCAGTAAATATGTATTGGAAAATAAAGGATTGGCTAGATACTCAGACTTTTATACAAGTTCTAATAATAGATTTCTTTGAAGTATATGTATATTGATTTGTGTGTGTCTTTGTGTCTAGTATGAGTGTAGTGGTAAAGGGAGTATAGTATGTTTGAGGTTTTTAAACATTTCATTTTATTCTATTTTATAGGTCAGGGTCCTAAATATGTAAAAATTTTTATCAACCTACCCCGATCTATGGATTTTGAAGAGGCAGAAAGAAGTGAACCAACTCAAGCTCTGGAACTGACAGAGGATGATATTAAAGAAGATGGCATTGTTCCACTTCGTTATGTTAAGTTTCAGAATGTTAACAGTGTAACTGTAAGCAGTATTTCATTCATGTGTATTTAATAGGTTTGTGAGTAACAATACTATTTTCAGTATCCTAGGTGAGTCTAAGTGATTCTTAAAAGTGGTATTTGTCCACTCAGTTTGAAATGAGTAAAAATGTACAATGGGATAAATTTTCTTCTTTTTATTATATGTACCCTAAAGAAGAAGAATGGATTGGTTTTTGAATATTTGTGGGTTTTTGTTAGTTGTTTTATATGTATATTAAACAGACACATGTAAGTACTAGGTTTATAGGCTTTAGCCACTGCACCCAGCCTTTCTGAAGATTGACTAGTGCTTTTGCTAGAAGTTTATTCTACAATGTTATACTTAAACTGACGATATTTGTGCTTTATTCTTTATACCTGGTAATAAGTAGTGATATGTTTATAAAATCCTATTTGCTTCTTGAATATGGAGTTTTAAAGTGTGGTGGTCATGATCTTAGTAAAAATGACTTTTTATTTACTTATTTTTGAGATGGAGCCTCTCTTTGTTGCGCAGGGTGACTTGAACTCAAGTTCAAGGTCAAATAATCCTCCCACCTCAGCCTCCTGAGTTCCTAGGATTACATGCATGCACCACTGCACCTGGCTTAAAAATGACCTTTTAAAAAGATAATATTACATTTTATAAGATGACCTAAGGTATCTGAATTTTTTTTTCCTTTGAGGCAGGTTCTTGGTTCTTGCTTTCTTGCCCAGCCTGGAGTACAGTGGCACTGGAGGCTGGGCAAGGGCTTCAAGATCTTGGTTCAGTATAGCCCTCACCTATGGGGCTCAGGTGATCCTCCCTCAGCCTCCTGAGCAGCTGCAACCACAGGCACGTGCCACCACACCCAGCTAATTTTTTAGTTTTGTAGAGACGAAGTCTCCCTATGTGGCCCTGGCTGGTCTCAAACTCCTGGGCTCAAGCAGTCCTCCTGCCTCAGCCTCCCAAATAGGCTTCAGCTACTACACCCAGCCTTTCTGAAGATTGACTACTAGTGCTTGAGATTATTTTAAGTGATATAGTTTAGATATTATTATAAAAATGCCACTTATAAGAATCAGCTACTTTTTAGTGGTTAATTGCTTTTAAAAAATTTAGCATTGAAACCCAGCATACACTTCTCACCTATAGTCATTTAGAGGAATGGGTAGGACAGTTAGAAAAGAATAGCAGAATACTTAGAAAAAGAAAGTAGGAATCAGCACAGAGCCACTGAGAATGTCATGCCAAACTGATAAAATTTGTTTGTTTTGATGGAATGATTTTATTTTTGTAAATTAGAAGAATGCTAAAGTATGTGTTCATTTTAGAATATTTTTGAGAGTTTCACAGAATCTATATAGTAGTAATATGAAGAATTATAATTGTCTGGGTATGGTAGCTTACACCTGTAATCCCAGCATTTTGGGAAGCCAAGGGGGCAGATTGCTTGAGCCCGCAATTTTGAGACCAGCCTGGGCAACAGGTGAAACCGCATCTACAAAAAAATACAAAAATTATAGCTGGGCATGGTGGTGTCCATATAGTCCCAGCTACTCTGGAGGATCACTTGAGCCTGGGAGATTGAGGCTTCAGTAAGCTGTAATTGTGTCATTATACCCCAGCCTGGGCGACAAAGAAAAAAAAAGAAAGAATTTTAATCAAGTTGAGTTTTAAGTATTAGTAATATCCTACTCAAATGAAATCAAAGAAAATGGTTATATTAAACTTAGAATACTGGTTATCAGATATTTTCTTGAAAGAATTTATGGTTGTCTATGAAAACAACAAAAACTGACCAATGAGTGCCATCTCAGAATGAAAAGAAGTATGTTGTTTAAATCAAGAAGCAATTTTTAGCTGGGCATGGTAGTGCACCTGTAGTCCCAGTTGCTTCGGAGGCTGAGGCAAGGGCTTCAAGAACAGTCTAGGTAACATAATGAGACCTTGTCTCAAAAAAGAGATAGGTGCAATATTTTAAAGCAGACAGCACCTAGAATATTGTGTTTTCAGAAATGGAGCAAAATTTAAAAATCCAATATATGAAAAAGGATCAATGAGTAAAGCTTTTAGCTTTTAACATGCTGAGGGGAGTTTTTGAATAAAAAGTATGAAGAATTGAGCTTAAAAAAAATATGAGGTGCATAGTATTGTTTTAGGAGCTGATTCCCAATATTTTTTCTTTTAATATTCTAGGTAAGAGAATGGACACAGGAATATTAGAAAGCATGTAACTCAGAGATTTTTCTCTGTAAAAAACTATGATTTTAATGAAATTTCCAATGATAGTCTGTCCCATTGTAATTGTAAATTTTAATACTCTTTCAGCATTCTCTGTATTTAATTGCTGGGTGTGTGTCTCATGCCTTTTATCCCAGCACTTTAGAAGGCTGAGGCGGGCAGATCACTTGAGGTCAGGAGTTCGAAACCAGCCTGGCCAACATGGCGAAACCCTGTCTCTACTAAAAAACACAAAAATTAGCTGGGTGTGGTGGCAGGCACCTGTCATCCCAGTGACTGGGGAAGCTGAGGCAAGAGAATTGCTTGAACCTGGGAGGCAGAGGTTGCAGTGAGTCGAGATTGTGCCACTGCACTCCAGCCTGGGTAACAGAGTGAGACAAAAAAGAATTTAATGATGACTCTGCCATACCATCACACTAAATTATCATCAACTTGTATATATGGGTATCTTGCCATGACCTCTAGAGAAGGTGAGAAAAGCAGGGCAATTAGCATAATGAATAGTCCTATAGGAGTACTAGTCTTAATGTTATATGATTTAGGTTTTTGTTTTTGTTTTTTTTTTAAGTTAGAGTTTTGCTCTTGTTGCCCAGGCTGGAGTGCAGTGACATTATCTCGGCTCACTGCAACCTCTGCCTCCCAGATTCAAACAATTCTCCCGCCTCAGCCTCCCAAGTAGCTGGTATTACAGGTGCCGCCACCACGTCTGGTTAATTTTTTATATTTTTAGTAGAGAGGGGGTTTTGCCATGTTAGATAGGCTGGTCTCAAACTCCTGACCTCAGGTGATACGCCTGCTAAAGCCTCTTGAAGTTCTGGGATTACAGGCATGAGCTACTGCATCCAGCCTAGATTAATTTTTACAAAGAATAGAGAATATTTTTTATTAGGAATTTAAGGAAATTGATTAAGCTTAAAGCATGTTTGTGAAGAAGGATTATAAGTATAAATGTAAACTTTTTTTTTGGTAGATATTTGTTCAGTCCAATCAAGGTGAAGAGGAAACAACAAGAATTTCATATTTTACTTTTATTGGTACTCCAGTCCAGGCAACAAACATGAATGACTTCAAACGAGTAAGTTTGCTTAAATGATACTTAGGGGTAGTAAAAATATAATTTTGATGGAATAATTTCATGTATCTCAACCTACACACTTTCTTTTAACCAAGTCATTCAAAATCATGTCAGGAAATTTTACAAAGCTAAGCTAGGATAGAAAGTTCTCCTATTATAGTTTTGGATATCCAACTAAAAGGAATCTTTAATAAAAATGACGTCTTAACTGATAGAGTCTTTTAATGAATGACATCAACATAAGGGTAAAAATAATAGTTTTGTTATAGAAAGTGGTTAGTAATAATGGAAAAATGAAAGTAAGTTAAATCATTTGAGAGCAGTGGTGAGAATTAAGGAACTTTTTGTTGATAGTAAGATTCTGATTATTATTTCTGATGAAATTTTTTTGTCTTTTTTTTGGTCTGATGAAATTTTAAATTACTTGAATAATTTTATTTGAAAAAGAATGAACTGAGTTTTAATACACTGACATATTAACTTTCTAAACCATGTTTGTATGCTGAAATAGCACATTTCATCAAATAATGGTATAGTAAATGGCAAGTTTTCTCAAGTATTTTTATTATCTTTATGTGTGTGCATATAATTTTTTTTTGAAAAGACAGAATTATAAGAATTGTAAATAATCTTTACAATTCGTTGTAAAGAATTTATAGGGTACATGGGACCTTTGTTAATCCAGACTAATTCCTTTTAAACATTACTGGAACACCTTCTAATTGGTAACAGTTCCCTAGGGTTACTCTCAAATATACAACCACAGACCATCAAAGTGCTACTTAGAGCTTTATCAGTACAGAGCCTCAGTTGCTATATATTCAGTTTAAATGTGGCAGCACAGAATGCATAGGTATCCCACTGTCTCTAATGACTGCGTCTGGCAGGCAGTCTAGAACTTGAAGAAGAGTTTCTTTCCCTAGGCCTGGTAATTCCTAGATGAAGAGGCTCCCAAAGGACCCCTGTTGTGGAATCGAAGATGGAGAACATCTTAAGCACTCTTATTCTTTTTGGTGATTCTACAGATTTGACTTAATTCAGTTACAGAAAAATGTGTGAAGTTGCATAACAAGGGATGATTTTAGAAAATTGTATGCTCTTTTTGCCGATTGAAAACCTGGATAATAGGTATTTTAACTGGTCTTTTTCCAGCGACTATTTTCCTGTCTCACAGCATGATTAACTTTTGGGGACTGCAGGAACAATTATCTACTTAGAGCTGTTCTGTCTAGATGTTGTACATATTGACCTTAATGACAGGTCAAAAGAAGCAGAGATTAAACAATCTACATTTTTACAATATGAAATGTTTTATTGGGAAAATGTGTGAGCAAGAAAGATTTCTTGGCTGCCTGCTTTGCCTTTTTGAATTAGACGCCATTGGACTTGGCCTTAATTGTGCCTGTGTAGTTTGTTCTGAGTTTAATTTTTTATAACATCTGTTATTATGAATCTTACTATTTTCTCATATCATAAATTTGTTTCTGCTTTCCTGTTTCTCACCTTAGTTTATGCTATTTGATTCTCATTTTTCCATAAATAACCACCATTCTATCTTGTTCATCTTCATACCAGCTAGCCATTCAGCTAAAGTTTCTCTAATTTGCATGAATAATTGTCCATCTAACTATCTGTCTCCACCTCGTTTTTAACATTCCCCTCACATTCCTTCTAGCCTTGAATTTCCTCTTTTTTAACTGTCAAACTACCTTTTTGGGGGCTGTCTTTGGGATAGCAAAGGTGTTAGACCTTTCTTGCTTGAGAGTATTTGTGCTTGTTTTATAACAGCCATTTATTCATTTAATTTTTTTTTTTTTTTTTTTTTGAGACGGAGTTTCGCTCTTGTTACCCAGGCTGGAGTGCAATGGCACGATCTCGGCTCACCACAACCTCCGCCTCCTGGGTTCAGGCAATTCTCCTGCCTCAGCCTCCCAAGTAGCTGGGATTACAGGCACGCGCCACCATGCCCAGCTAATTTTTTGTATTTTTGGTAGAGACGGGGTTTCACCATGTTGACCAGGATGGTCTTGATCTCTTGACCTCGTGATCCACCCGCCTCAGCCTCCCAAAGTGCTGGGATTACAGGCTTGAGCCACCATTTAATTTTTTTTAACTTTAAATAACTACACAGTAGCAGTTCTCAAGCTTTTTGGTTTCAGGACCTCTTTATATTATTAAATACTATTGAAGGATAAAAAGAACTTTTGCTTATGTGGGCTGTATTTATCTAATATTTGTCATTTAGAAGTTAAAACTGGTAAATAAAAAATATATTTATTTGTAAATAATGAATACATGTTAACAGATATTTTTAAATTAAAAATAAGCATATTTTCTTTTCTTTTTTTTGAGATGGAGTCTCATTCTGTCACCAGGCTGGAGTGCAGTGGCACGGTCTCATCTCACTGTGGCCTCTGCCTCCCAGGTTCAAGTGATTCTCCTGCCTCAGCCTCCTGAGTGGTTGGGACTGTAGGCACCTGCCACCATGCCCCACGCCCAACTAATTTTTGTATTCTTAGTAGAAACAGGGTTTCACCATGTTGGCCAGGCTGGTCTCAAACTGCTGACCTCAGATGATTTGCCCGCCTTGGCCTCCCAAAGTGCTGGGATTATAGACATGAGCCACTGCACCTGGCCAAAAAATAAGCATATTTTCTAAAAGAAAAACCAATTTAGTAAGAATAAGAGCATTGATAAAGAATTCTTATTTTTCTTTCAGAGACAGGGTCTTGTTCTGTCATCCATACTGGAGTACAGAGGCCCAGTTATGGCTCACTTTAACCTCAAACTCCTGGGCTCAATTGATCTTCCCACCTCAGCCTCCTGAGTAGCTGGGACTACAGGTGTGTGCCACCAAACTTGGCTGTTTTATCTTTATTTTTGTGTGGTGTCAGGGTCTCACTGTGTTGCCCAGGCTTGTTTACGAGCCTAATAGAATCCTTTCCTTCTCATCTGCTTCTGCATTCAGTCAGCTTTCCTGTCACACATCATGTAGCCTCTGAAAAACTTCCCTGGATACTTGTGAAGAGAATGAGAGTTTAAAAGGCAAAAAACAATTCAGCATTATGAAAATAGTGTTGACCTCCCAGACCCCTTGAGAGGGTCTTGGAGACCACACTTTGAGAATTGCTCCAAGAATAATTTGAATACCGTAATTGACTCCCTTATTAGTGTTCTGGGTTTCCTAGCCCCATGCTTTTAATGTTTAATAAATTTTAATTGATGAAGTGATTTTCTTACGTATATTACAGTTTCTTCTAATATTTCTGAATGACATTTGTGCTGTAGTCACTCATTGTCTTTTAGGGTTATTCTTTGAAAGTAAGCTAGTATTTCATTGTTTTTATATTGTACAAAGCAACAACTTCAATGTAGTAAAAAATATAGAGGGTTTATGTGTAACTGAAATTGGCCAGATTAGTCTCTGTACAGATAAGAGTTATTACAAATTATAACTGAGTTTGATTCTTGTTGAAGGAAATATTAGATGTGTGGTATGGTATGTTTTGTCCCTTTAGTACTAGTAAAATAATCTCTCCTTATCTGTGGTGGGGGAATATGTTCTTAGATACCCCCCCCCCCCAGTGGATGCCTGAAACTATGGACAATAACAAACCCTATATATACACTGTTTTTTCCTATACAGACGTTTCCAACTTATGATAGTTAAAGTTTACAGTGGTGCAAAATTGATAACGCATTCAGTAGAAATCATTCTCTTAAGTGTGGGTCAGTTACGCATTTTTGACTTAAAGTATTTTCAGCTTACAATGGGTTTACCTTTTTTTTTTTGAGACTGAGTTACCCTCTTGCCGCCCAGGCTCTAGTACAATGGTGTGATCTCTGCCTCCCAGGTTCAAGTGATTCTTCTGCCTCAGCCTCCTGAGAAGCTGGGATTACAGGTGCCTGCCACCATGGCCAGCTAATTTTTGTATTTTTAATGGAGATGGGGTTTCACCATGTTGGCCAGGCTGGTCTCCATCTCCTGACCTCAGGTGATGCGCCTGCCTCGGCCTCCCAAAGTGCTGGAATTACAGACATGAGCCACCACGCCTGGCCTTTACAGTGGGTTTAATCGGGATATATTACCCCATCAGAAGTCAAGGAGCATCTCTGCATGTTTACCTCTGATAATGTTTAATATATAAATTAGGCACAGTAAGAGATTAACAACAAGGCGAGAGCATGATGGCCCATGCCTGTAATCCCACCACTTCAGGAGGCTAAGGTAGGAAGATCACTTAAGCCCAGGAGTTCAAGACCAGCCTAGTAAATATAATAAGACTCCATCTCTATAATAATATAAAAAAAAAAAAAAAATTGCCCAGGCAAGGCAGTGGTTGCACCTGTAGTTCCAGCTACCTGAGAGGCTGAAGTGGAAAGATCACTTGAATCCAGGAGTTCAAGTCTACAATGAGGTGGGATCAAGCCACTACACTGCAGCCTGGGTGACAGAGTGTGACCCCATATAAAAAAAAAAATGGAGATTAACAACAACTAAAAATAAAATAGAGCGGTTATAACAATATACTTTGGTAAAAGTTAATGTGGATATGGTCTCTCCCACGCTTGCTCTTTCTCTTACTGTCTCAAAATATCTTATTCTGCTGCACCATAGGCAATTGAAACTGCAGAAAGTGAAAGCACGGATAAGGAGGGACTACTGTACTGTCTATAGCAAGTTTCTATCTATAGCAAATTCATATTCTTGTAGGATAATGGACAAACGTAGGTTAATCAAAATTAATCAAAGCTTAGTTCAAGGGTCTCTTTGTCCTCAGAGTATTCTCAGACTTTACCAGCTAAGTGATTTTTCCTTTTCCCCCCAACAATGACTGAGAAAGTCTGAGAATACTTTGAAAAGAAAAAGGGCCTTGCACTAAGTTTGGACAGTGCAGCAGGCGGCGATGGATACCCTTGATAGAATGGAAAAGTAGGGACCTGAACATGAGCTTAGGAAGGCGGAGGATTCATTAAAGGACAAGTCACTTATGGCATTTATTTTCTTTTGCTCGTTTGGTCAGTCTGAATTATGAGAAAGTTATACATAGTAATCATAATTGAAATTTCAAAATAGATTTGGCATGTGTTTAATGGGCACAGGGAGGAAAATTGATGACCACTGTTTAGTGAAGGTTGCTACATAAAATGGCATAATAAATGATAAAGTAGATCAAATGTTGAGCATTTTTAGCTTATGTTTTTATCTTGTGTGAGCTGTTTCTGGATAATTTCAGTTTTCATTATTTCACTGACCCTTATATTCACTAAGATGACAGAATCTTAGTGCTGTTGAATTTCCAATGTGGATAGAAATCTTAGACGACCTTACATGCTTTTACAACATTTAAGGTTAGATTTTTAAGGTTTGACAGACTAGAATACCCCTTCCACTTGTCTGTTTTTGGCTCTTAATAGGCATCATGCACAGATTTTAATCTATACTTTAGCTGTTTGCTGTTGTAAATGGATTCTTTGTGTTGCAGCATGAAAAGCTTGCCATTGCCATGTTAATTGAAAGTAGATGTTTTTGCTTAAAATATGCTGTTTATATGAACTGCTTTATTTAATACAGAATTTTTAATTAAAATTTTAATAAAAATATAAAAAGAAAATGATTGTAGGGGCTTCTGCTTCTTAGGAAAATGAGGTGCATGTGAAAAGATTTTTATCACTATAAAAATGGACTTTGCTAAACTGGCCATTCACCGTATCGGCTATTTTTGTAACATTTCTGTCTGTTTATTTTTCAGCTTTTTTAATCCAACTCAAATGAACTAAAAACAGAAGATATTTTAAAATGAAGTAATATAAAGATTGACCTTGTCTCACTCTACTCCCCTCCTTGCTTCTCTGCTCATCTAGCACCTGTCTGCTCTCACCCTTCCCATGTTCTCGCCATTGTTGGTGCAAGATTTCTACAGCTTCTATCATCTGGATCAGCCTTGTTACCTTAGGTTTCCTCAACCATCTCTTTCTTCAGATCTCATCCTAGTCATGTTTCTCAGTTGGCCTTTTATTTTGTTTGGCTTTTGTTTTGGGCTTGCAACTAGGTGCTATAATTTTATTACCATACCATGTTGCTCACTAGCCTATTTTTTTTTTTTACTTTCTACCATTTCATATTTAATTTTGTACTACATTTTGAGACGTAATATCACAATAAACTTAAATTGGTATGAATGGTTTTAGATTTAACTAGTTGTTGAATAACATTTTAATCCATTCTAAACTTTAAATTTTATTTTCTAGGAACTATAGAATTCTTCTGGAAATGAAATATGGCAGTTTCATCAAGTTCTTTTATGTTTGTGCTAGTTTAGTATATTGATTACATTTCAGTTGAGGGCTGTTGGTTTTCTTTTCCTCTTTGAACGTTAGCCCCATAATCCTTCTGATGATTGATTGGGGCATGTCCTCTGCTTTTACCTACCCGAGTGAGCTCAAGACCAGTTGAAGGACTTATGGACTGAATATTAGGCTGGGTTAACATATTAATATAGAAGATCAATGGATTCTTTACTGAATAAATATTTTCTTACACATAATTATGTACCTAGATTTTGGTTTGTCTAAGGTGTAATATAAAGACTTGAGAATGAATAAAAAGAGCTTTGCGTTTGGGATGACAATCTATGTTGGAATGTTGAATTTCTTCTTTTTTACAGAAAATACACATTGGCAAGTTGAGAGTTATCAACCTGTGAAACAGTATGCAGATTTGTGTCTTCTGTATCACATCTGCCAGAAGTTTAATTTTTAATATTATTTGTTTTGTTTTCTTTTGCTTAATCTAATAGCTTTGTGTTTTGTGTTTCCCAAGTAAAACAGTGATCAATAATACTGTCAGTGTTTATCGGCACAAAATTTACGTGTGATACAGATAATGCCACTTCCTCTTCTAGTGGCTCTGAAAACCTGAATTTCTTACTCTTATTCACATTCTGTTATATGAAAATGCCTTTTTGTCATCTTGCTGGCTTGTGAGCTTTCTAACATGGTGTCTTTGGACCAGAGGGGAATTCCTTTAAAGTACTCGAAGTGATTTTCCATAGGGTGGGAAAAACATTTCTAGGATTGTGTGATTGGGATTTCAGTGGAAAGTTTTCAGATATCTCATGAATGATGTTGACACAGCTATGTTGTATTTTAGACCAGAAGTGTACTGAGGACTTTTTTGAGTTTTGCTGGTGTAGATACTGTCATTTAGAATAAAATCAATTTAAAATATGAAAATTAAATTTATAAATGTAAACAGAAATCTTTCTACACAAACATTCATTATTTTGCAAGTAGGTTTCTTTCGGGGCATTTTTGCTCTGAGAATACATTATCTGATAATATACATTAAGTTTTAGGTAAATTTCTCAATTAGAACATAGTTTTCAAACTCTCCTACAGATAATTTTTTTCTAGATTTGTTGGTAGAAAACAAATTTTTATTCTTCATATTTTTATGCTGCCACATATACAGCAATCAGAACATTTTATAAAACTCTCCAGTAGAGGATTTTTCTAATCATTGACAGAAACAAGTTTTATTCATTTCATTTTTAATAATACAGTAACCAGGGTTTTTTTGTAAAAAAGAAACCAGGAAAAATTCGTCATTTTAAATCTATTTTCATTGCATGTCTATGTATTGAGGGGGAAAGTCTAGAAATTTGCTCTGTTGGGCATGAAGACGTGAGTTTAGCATACCCTTCTAATTCCAGATTATTTTGTGATCGACATTTGATTTCTAATTATCTAAAAGTAGTATGTCAAATATGTTGTACTCATACAGCATTGTTCTTTAACTTTTCTAAACTTTCAATTTTGTTTTTAAAAATTGCTATACTTTCTTTAAAAAACTGTGTGAAATCAAAGATAGCCTGCATGCATTTTATTTTTAATCCCTTGTGGCTGGAGGGCAGGGGAGGTCACAGTTTGCTTCAACAGTGAAAATATACTGCATGCCAGAAAAGATCCAAGGATGAAAATTAATACCAAGGTTTTAAACTGATTACTATATTAGTGTTTTTTAATAACATTTAAAATCGATAGGATGTATATATAAACTTATTTTCGTTTTTCTAGGTAGTTGGCAAAAAAGGAGAAAGCCACTAAAGTACAAAAGACACTGGATGACCATATTGCAATCAGATCTACAGCTCCTGGATAATTGCTTGATTCTCGCCAGAGACTGTCAATGTTTCATTAATTGCCATTACCAATAAATCATTGCTTTTGTTCAGATGGTATCACTAGTGTTTCCATTATAATCTTGACACATACAATTGTAAATAAAAGTCACTACTTTTGCCAAGCTTAATTTTTGTCATTCGAAATCAGTATTTTCTTTCTATGTATTTGAAAATTGGTCAGCTTCTAATTTTAGACGAGACTCAAGTGTCTGGTAGCATATTGATTGAAAAGCCAGTTTCTTTAGAAAAGCAGAAACTGTTTTAGGGAATTAAGGAGTACGTGTGCACACATTCATAACAAGTGATTTTGATAAGTGGTCTTGGAACAGCTAACCGTGTTCAAATGAGTACTACTTGTATTTTTATTAAAGGACATTTGGATATCTGAGCTATAGAAATTACTCAAATTATAAATTAGAAGAAATAAACAGGTTTAATGAGATTTAACTACTCTTACCTAAAACTTAATGTGTCCACAAATTCTTTCTTGGTATATACCAAGATTTTAATCTTTTCTGGTAAATTTAAAAATTTTAGTTAGCTTTCTTTTTTTTCCTACTAATAGAGGAATGTGGAAATCAGATGGTTTGGGAAAAAATACAGCACAATGAATTCAGAAAACAATAGGAGTTGGCCAGGCATGGTAACTCAACGCCTGTAATCCCAGCACTTTGGGAGGCTGAGGCAGATCAATCACTTGAGGTCAGGAGTTCGAGAACAGCCTGGCCAACATAGCAAAACTTCATCTCTACTAAAATTCCAAAAATTACCTGGGCACTGTGGTGAGTGCCTATAATCCCAGCTATTTGGGAGGCTGAGGCGGGAGAATCAGTTGAACCCAGGAGGCAGAGGTTGCAGTGAGCCAAGATTGCGCCATTGTCCTCCAGCCCGGGCAACAAGAGTAAAACTCTGTCTCAAAAAATGAAACAAATAGGAATTATCTTTAGTCAAGTATTATCTGAACTCCCAAAATGTGCAGTGTGAATATACAGAGAACATGATTAAAGGTTGAAAATGAGGTGGCCAAATACAAATGTTTAAAATGTCTTTCACAAAAGGCCGGTAAGATATCTATTCTTTTTTATCTTAGAATTGTAATCTAAAAAGTATTGGTAGATTTAATTTTAAAATATCTGAGTATTTTTAAAGAGTGCATAAGACTAAAATTGTGATCCAGTGAATACATTTGAGGGCATTCTTGTCTAGGAACGTGGTAGGGATACCATTTGCCTTTGTGAGAGCAGTGTATTTATACATGTTTATGAAAATAATTTTACAGAAGTTTTAGTATTGAAATAGTCCCTTTCTGAAACCTAAGTGTCATTAGATAGTTTAGTTCATTTGTATATGGGCACTTTAACTGGCCTGTGATGATGCCTGTATCTTAACACTCCTTACACAGACCATCTCAGATTAATCACGTCTGAAATTAAGGATAAGATTAATATGCAGGATTTTGCTTTACAGTTTTGTACACTTAACCTTTTTGAGTAATTGTTAAAGTGCCTCATCCTAAGTATTGCTGACCTTGTCCTATTTATACTTGACAGTTTGAAAACCCAGTGAAAGAATTTCGTTTTTGTAAAGGATTGGGCATCAGATTTATATTGTTTATGTGACTTTTCTATAACGATTGGTTGCAGTATACAAGCATTCCATAATTCAGATTGTAAATAGTGAAAAGTGAATGTTTATAGGTAACTAACATGTTTCACTTGTGGGAAGCTTTACAAATAAATATGCATAATTGGGATTATTTAAAATACCAAGCTGAAATGCTGTTTTCTCCTAAAACAGTATATACATATATATGTGTGTGTGTGTATATATATATATGTGTGTGTGTATATATATACGTGTGTGTGTATATATATATATGTTTATATATATAAACGTATATACGTGTATATATATACGTATATATATACACATATATACGTGTATATATGTGTATATATACATGATATTTACATATAACACTGAATTTTCCAGATGAATAAGAGCATTTGAAAAAAAATGTAACTTGTTATTTTAACTGAAGTCATTTATTAGATAGTGCGTCTAGAAAACTGGTATTCGGTTTCCTGTTTTTTCAGACATAGTAAAGAATCTAATGATTTGTGTAGTTTGTTACATTTGACATCAGGTGTTTATGATGAGAAACAAGTGAAATGCCCTGTTCATAATAGAAACAAAGTACTGCAGTAGGAAATCTTTGTCAGCTTAATACTGAAGCCAAGAGTAGCACATTCTTGTGCTCATGGCAGGCTTTTATAATCCTTCTGAGTTTTCTTTGACATCAAGCCCCACATTGTTCCCCAATCTCAATTTTGTGTTGGAGGCAGCCACGTAAAAATTAGAGTTGAAACCTGCCTGCTATCCTTTGTCTCACTGAGGATATATGCAATGTTTTTGGAAGCGATTATAGGACTGCTGTTGTATATTTGACTTCAGCATTTTATGACTGCAATTAATATCCCTGATCATGGGCTTTTTAACATAAAATAGTTCAGATCTTCCCTTGTTCCTCTTAATGTCTCAAAGCTTTAATTCTGTAATAAGAATAAATTTTGAAGATTAAATTAGTTACACCCTTTTCTTTGTAAGCTTTAAAACCATGAAAGAAGGTTTATTCATATTTCTTGTATTGATATTTATATAGTTCAATTTAGTAGGTTAATTTTTGTGTAAGGTATATCTCTTCTGGGATTGTTCATTTGTAATCTTAGGCGATTTTTTAAAGATAAGTAACTAAGAGTGAGAAATCTGGCCCGGAACAGTAGCTCACACCTGTAATCCCAACATTTTGGGAGGCCATGGTGTGTGGATCACTTGAGGTCAGGAGTTGGAGACCAGTCTGGCCAACATGGAGAAACCCTGTCTTACTAAAAACATAAAAAATTTAGCCAGGCGTGGTGGCAGGTGCCACACCCAACTGCTTGGGAGCTTGAGGCAGGAGAATCGCTTGAACCTGGGACGTGGAAGTTGCAGTGAGCCAAGATTGCACCACTGCACACCAGCCTGGTGACAGAGTGAGACTCCGTCTCAAGAAAAAATACACAGAACTGCTAAAGAAAAGCGTTAAAGGAGTATTGTGCTCATTTAGCTTTAAAACTCATTGTTAGAGGTGTGTATTTTACAGGGTTTTCCAAACATAGATTATATATGCTTTATAATCAAGTATTTATATATAACATCCATATAGTAAATAAATTTTAAAATATTGTCTATTCCCTGGTTAAGCCTATATTTCTTAAGACTACTGATGTCATTTTAAGCATGTTTTAAAATTCAAGTTTTATTTTAAGATCTGTAAGATTTTTTTTACATGCTCAGCGCTATAGGACTAAGAGGACAAGTGGAGATTTGTAGGCTAATAATATTGCTTTTAAACTTTGTGGCCCATGTACAATTATTAGTTGGAGAATGTATAATTAGATAACTAT